CCTCTGTGGCCTAAGCACTGCTTCATTCTACTAAGTCAGTAAATCTGTGTACACCTCTTACCTGCTGGGTCAAATATCCAACAGTATCATAGACACCACCCCAGTCCCCTAACCCTGTTAAACAAGTCAGATCTGGTAACCCAAAGGGCCTTATATTTCATTACTTTTTCTCCCTCCCTCTTTCTTTCTACTTGGTTTCCAGGGTTCCTTCATCATTCCCGAGAAGGGGTTTTCCCTCTCCCTCTTCAGGAATTTGTTTTTTCCTTCCTTTGGCCATACCCACAGCAGCCCCAATGCCAGCCCCTATACTACCCCCAGCCACTGTGGCACCCACAGTGGACCCTGTGACCACAGCTGCAGCCTCCATAGTCAAAGTAGTGGCTGCCACACCAACTGCCATTACACCACCAGTTGCAACCGCCACCAAACTAGCCCCCACAAGTCCACCCACGGCAGCAGTACAGCCACAGAAACGTTTTTTATAGGATTTATAGAAGTCATTAATTCTCTTCTCAATCTGTGTCTCAAACTTGTTCATGATTTGGTTCTTCCCTGGACTCTTCAAATTTTCTTTGAGATGATTTAAGATGGTATCTTTCTTAGTTGAGAGGCGTGTCCACATGACTCTAGGAACAGTCTTCAAACAATTAAACATGGACTTTGTGGAAGAATCCTGAAAGTGTGGAAGAGGAAGCTGTGACTGCTGGCTGAATACCCAGGGACTCTCTCCCTGAGCCCAAGCCTTTGCTATTCAGATCCCTTTGATTCTGAGAATTCAGGCAACCTTCACCATAGTCCCCCTACCAGTCCATATGAACTCAACTATGCTTTAAAAAAAAAAAGTTTTATTTTTGCCTATATATATATATAGATATATATGTGTGTGTATGTATATATTTATGTATGTATGCATGTATATGTATATGTGTATATCTATACCTATCTATATCACCTTTTATTTTTTTACAAATATGTCCCTCCCCTGGCACCCCACACATTAATTTCATCAGACAGTATATGCAACATTGTACACCCATACTTCCCAATGTCTTCAGTGAAAGGTGGAAGCTGAGTTTGGTCATTACAACTACAGACAAGAATTCAGGCTGGGTGGGTGGAAACCTCTGACTTTGTTTCCATAGCCTGCCTTTGCTTCTGACTCAAATTCATTTGAAGCTAGGCCAGGGAGCATATTGGAAAATGTGTTAAATTGTCTGAACCTGAAGCTAGATAATTATCTAATAATTAATCTAGATATTAATTATAATTACTAATTATAATTAACAGAAAGCTTTGATTCCCCTTCCATAGGGTTCAAAAATAAAGATCTAGTTTTTAAAACTTTAGCTTTAAAAGTCCTCTTGGCTTCTGTCACTTGGTTATAGTGGCTAGTCAACAACCAGGATTAAAGAGCTAATAGCCAGGCATTATGAGGCAGAAGATTTAACCACTACCCTAGTAGACTTAACTTGAAATGGCTGAGCTGGCTCTGAAGAGATGAGGTTGCCAGGGGAGATTGGAAACCTAGTGAAGGAGTGCCCAGAGGGAGGAACTCTGACTCAGTGAACCCAGGGGAAATCACCAGGGGATATCAGGGATCACTTTGAATAAATATAGAGGGGCTACTAACTACCTCTGATGCTCTAGGACCCTGATGTCCCTGGTGAGTTCATGTATGGTAATAATAATGTACATGCTCACTCAGGTGAGCATATGGTGGTGTGTGTGTATATAGGATAAAATACTCTACATTCATGGAGGAAATGTTCTATTACAAATCTGCCTACTCTGCTATTCCATTAAACACCTTTGCTTTGAATTAATTGTAAACCCTGGATAACTAGGGAAAAAGCAGAAGTATCAGTGGGAATTTATGAGTGGTTGTGAGTGGATGTGAAGCCACAGAGTGTCTTGAACCTAGGGTAGTCCTTCTGGGTAGCTCATCCATGAGAGGGACAATGAAAAGCCTGAGGGCTCACCTGTTCCTTCACAAAGTCCTCCAACTCTTTTTTAGCAGCTTTAATCAACCTGCTATCATGGATTTGAGTAATCACCTGTCCAAGGAGAAGACGACCCCTTATCATGTTGTCCTTCACCCTATTCATTTTGGAATTCTGTCCCAAGCCTCCCACCCACCTCCACTTACTACTTAATCCTAACCCAACCCCATGTTCCCTTGAAGACAGATGCTCTGACTCACTGGACCTGGTTCTCTACCCAGGACTAGCATCCTTTCCAAGACTATTAGCCAGGATTTTACCGACACATACGAGGATGAATATCCAAATTCTTTTGTCTGTAATAGGTTGAAGAGTGTCTGCAGACAAATTCAAAGGGATAATGAGGGATCACAAGAGAATGGACAGCTAGGTGAAAGATTCAGGGAGGTTAGGGAAGTTGCTTGTACCTTGATGTTCTCAGCTAATTCCTCCCCAGTGAGAATATGTCCATCTGAGTGCCTTTTCACATGCTGGGTGGTTGAATTGCAAACATCAGTGATGAAGTCATGCAGATAGCGAGAGAAATCTGGATCCATGTCTGAGGAAGAGAAGATCTGTGATCCTGAGAGATCTGAGTAGTGGAGGGGCAGGGTGGCTGGAGTTTAGAAGGGAAGTGGGATGGTGGAGGGGCCAAGATCAGTTACACTCTGAGAAGGGATTATAGGGACTTCTGGATAGAGGGACAGTCACCTTCTGGATTTCCACTGCTGCTAATTGCTACTTTTTTCCCAGGAAATGGCAAGAGATAGCAGCAGGCTTGTTCACTCTTAAGAATCTTCTGAATTCTGGGATACCTGTCAGAAATTTTCTGAGGAGACAGCAAGACCTCAGGGATGGGCTCCATGCTTCAGGTGGCAGCTTCTTTCTCCCCTCCAATATTCCTGTGGCCATCTCCCACTTTGAATGTCCACACTCTAGTACTACCTTTCTTTCCTCCCTGAACCCAGGCCTCATGTCCTTCTTTCCCACCACCCTCCAAACAGTTGCCAAATTGATATTCTTAAAGCATAAGTTCTATAAGTCTGCTCAAGAAGCTTCATCAGCTTTTTATTGCCTCTGGAATTAAATATAACTCATTTGGTATTTACAGTCCCCCATCACAATCTCCAGCCTACCTTTCTAAGTTCTGTACATTGCTGCTCTTCATGCACCCTGTGACCTAGACAAACTGACCTGCTGCTGGCTGCTCCCTGAACTTGCCATGCCTTTCCCTCCTTATTCCCACCTCAAATGGCTCCTGCTAAATGAAGCCTTTTCTGAGTCTCCTCATTTTCTAGTG